CCCGAACTGTGGGATCGAGACCCAGACCGGGCTGACCCACAGGGGGAGGGCATACCCAAAAGTGCAGTGGCTAAAAAAATCAACAGTCGAAGCATATTAAACAAACCTAGACACAGACAGTAACAGTTGGACATGGCATTAATATCACATAACTCAAACACTGTTTTTATGTACATCCATAAAACATAGGGACAACATAGTATGTGGTATGGGTGGGAAGGAACATCAAGGTAATAAAATGAAAAGATGAAAAGATCAAATAAAAATGGGTTACGAATTACATGATAAAAGAAACAAGATAAAATATAAAATAAAATAAAACAAGATGATGTAATAATCTAAGAGAGTAAAATAAGATAAACTGACTAGTGTGACTTAAAATCACATAAATGAAAGAAAATTGTGAAAAAGCGTAACGTGACAATCTAATAGTCGGTTTAATTAAAAACAAATAGAATAACATAGGTTTTAGATAAAATGATATTATAACATTTATAAAAAGTTAAAAAGGTCAAACTCTATATTAAGACCTTGTGGGGTAAGGGTCTTTAAGTTGTATGCCCATTCCATTTCTCTACTTCCTAAAATTATTATTATTATTTTTTTAATATCCTAATACCTATACATTTAAGGTGTTTAAGATTTTTAAAAAAATGTTTGGAAACTGAGTGATTCTCGTAACCTTTGGCGATATTGCGGCAATTTTCCGCCAATCTAATCTTAAGATTCCTGGTCGTCATGCCCACATATTGGAGTCAGTGTGTGTATCTGTATCTGTATTATGTATCTGTATGAGTGTGTCATTGTTTGTACCTGTGTCTGTTTGTATCTGTGTATTTGCACATGTGTCAGTCTGTGTGTTTGTGTATCCACATGTGTGTATCTGCACTGTGAGGAGCCTGGAACAGAGAAAAGGGGGAGATGATACAACACTGCTCTAGGTAATCTTTTATTTTGGGACCTTTTATCGATGTAATTTTCCATTGTATGTTTTTGTTAGACTCAAAATGAAACCTAAGAATGAATGTTTTTAAGGTCTGTTGGCCATTTTAATTATGGAATATGTTATCACTAAAGCACCAGTAGAAGGTCCTCATTGGTGGCTGATGAATACAATATACAACATACAACGGCTTTAGCATAAAATGTAGCTCCTCTTGGGCTCTGTTCATGGCCTTCCAGAGAGGTTTTTGTAGTCCAATTAGGGAACGTTTTTATTTAGCAGGCATGCATTTGAGAGGTTGGAATTGCTTAGGAAGCAGATTGTTCTGCTAAAAGAGCTTCTGTCAGCAACATCGTTAAGCCATTCTTCACTTAATGCTTTGTTCATTTTCTCTTCTCATGACTCCACCTTGTTTCTCCCTAATGTTCATTTTTCTACATTTACTTTTTTCTCTTTCTTTTGCTAATGTCATCTTCTCTTTCACTACAACGTATATTTTTTCTTTTTCTGCAGTGATCCCAACCAACCTGTTCCACAGGACACCAAGTTCATACACACGAAGCCCAACCGATTTGAGGAGGTAGTATGGACAAAGTTCAACCCTAAGGAGAAGCAATACCTTCATATTGGCCTGAAACCTCGTGTAAGGGACAACTACCGTGCCAACAAGGTTGCATTCTGGCTGGAATTGGTCCCACACCTACACAACCTTAACACCGTACTTCACACTTCAACCACTACCCGAATCCCACCAAAAAACAATCGTTGGCAACCTGGTCAGAAGCCAAAAGAAGTATCAGGCACCGGGAGTAGCACACGACGTCCTCATTCTACTCTTCCTCCAGATATCGATGACAGGGATGAAATTGACGACCCTCCTCGATTTTCACCCTTTCCAGGGGACTCACGTGACTACTCCACAGAGCTTAGTGTCACTGTAGCAGTGGGAGCTTCACTTCTCTTCCTCAACATTCTGGCCTTTGCTGCTCTTTACTACAAGAGGGACCGACGTCATGAGCTGCGTCAGAGGCGTCACAGTCCAGGACGAGGTGGTGCCCCAGGCAATGATTTAGCCCATCATGGACCTGAAGAGGAGTTAATGTCGCTCCAGATAAAGAGGGCTGGTGGGGCTCCAGATCTAGAGCCACTTAGACCACATGATATACTGCGTCCAGCTTGCCCCCCCGACTATACCTTGGCACTAAGAAGGGCACCTGAGGATGCACCTCTCCCACCACCTCCTCCTCCTCCTGCCTCTGTAATGGCACCCAGCACCATCTCGGGCCTTCCCTCATTACATCCATTTAATACTTTCCCCACCACTACCCACAATAATACCCTTCCCCATCCGCACTCCACCACAAGGGTATAGGGGTGCCAGACATCTCGCCCTCTACCAACTTATTGCCCTTGTCTTCCCCCTCCTCCTAAGAACAGCTTCATAGACTTTGTGGGTCTGCTAAGCCAGAGCTGGGCATTTGCCTCACGACACAGAATTGGCATAGATTTATTGACTTGTATAGAGGGGGATAATAGAAAAAACTAGCCGTGGCCCCCGTACACATCGTCTTCTTCTCAGGCTTAAAACCACAATCAGACATCAGTGAGCCTTTTGTGTCTACAAGGAGCAAGTTGGATATGTGTGCCCACGGCATGGAGAAAGCAGGCCTACAACTCATGGCTGTGTTGGGGCAGATATTTAAAGGGGAGTAGGGGGCGTTTTATGGATTAAAACAAGTCTAAAATTACCCCCTTATTCTCTTTGTAGAGGGGGAGGGGGAAGAGCAGATACAGGAGGATGGGAGGCCTAGTTGATTAGGCCAAAACCTCCATAGACTCACTTCTACACTGGCTTTATTATAATTATTATTTTTTTTTTATGGAAGATGTTAATTTGATGGGGATTTACATTGGGCTTGGGGGCACGAATACCCCGGGCCTGGTGTGTTAAATGCACTGAGTCCCAGAGGACTATACAGCTCCCACGGCTTACATGGATTAAAGGATACTTGGTACAAGGAGGTGAGGGGGAGGACATGCGCTCTTCCCTCTGCGGAGATGGAGTATGAATGTACAGGGGGGGAGGAATGCATGAGAGGCCAAACTAAATATCCCTCCCCCCCACACATAGTGCCAATGTCTCCCGTCCAACTCTCCGACAGGGCGCTCCGACTCACAGGTTGGAGAGAGGTGGTCAAATGGAAAAAGGTTAAATGCCTTCTCACTGCCATACAATCCCCATATTCCCCTCCAGAGACTGGGGGACTGTTTGTGTGCCAAATACTACAGAGGGGAGGGGATGAGAGTCTTATAATAAAGGTGTTTGCGCTTTGTCCCCCTCCCCTGTATATTTTTCTATTTCATTCAGTCCTGTTTCCTTCTCCATTACTTCATTCTGTACTTCCTGAGCCTGTGTCAGGTCTTTGCTCTGTCTCCCCCAGGCATACACTCCCCCTGCACTCACTCCCCACGGGTATACACTCCCCCGCCTTACACTCCCCCTGCACTCCCTCCCTTGCTTCACACTCCGCCTGCACTTACTCCCCCCGCCTTAAACTCCCACTGCACTCACTCCGTCCACCTTACACTGCTACTGCACTCCCAATTTATCCTGCTTACACTATCTCAAACTCTTGCACCTGCACATGCTTAGTCTCTACTACATTTGCCCCTTTCCATGCTCCGCCCCCCCCCAAATTTACCCCTCCCTGCACTCACACTTCACTGAGTTTATTGTACCTCCTTTACTCAAATGTTCCTGCTCTGGGATCCATCCTCATTCTCTGCCCTCCTGTACTCCTTACAGAGACTCCATCCCCCCATGCTCTCCCCTCATGCTACCTTCCCTGTTCCCTCTTTCCCAGTGCTCTCTGTCCACTTTGCTTTACCCTCATGCGTTCAACTTCCTGTGATCCTCCAATACCGTCCCTCACCCTACTCCGAACTCACAGCCCCTACACCTTACACCTTCAGACAGCATTGTTCAAACTTCTATTTACTCATCTTTCCTATCATTGTCATCACCATTCCTTTACCATGTCTCCTGATGCATACCCTCACAGCACTCTCTTCTCTCTACAGGTCTGCACTGTAAACTCAGAACTCAGAAGCACACAGATAGCTCAATGATTCCCTTGTGGAGAAAGGGGAAGAGCATTCACCTTACCAATTAAATAGTCAAATAGTACACAGGGAGGAAATTGGGAATAAATGCCAATCTTTGCTGTTTACAAGAAGGTTACAACAGGGAAAATCGATTATTTTATCATTTAGAAGCTGTAGGGTCAGTGACGCCCCCGTCTGATGGGATAAGAGAGCGTCTCACACACAGGGATTCCTATAAGTTATAGGGTCAGTGACGTCCCCTCTGATGGGATAAGAGAGCGTCTCACACACAGGGATTCCTATAAGTTATAGGGTCAGTGACGCCCCCTCTGATGGTATAAGAGAGCATCCCACACACAGGGATTCCTATAAGTTATAGGGTCAGTGACGTCCCCTCTGATGGGATAAGAGAGCATCCCACACACAGGGATTCCTATAAGTTATAGGGTCAGTGACGTCCCCTCTGATGGGATAAGAGAGCATCTCACACACAGGGATTCCTATAAGTTATAGGGTCAGTGACGCCCCGTCTGATGGGATAAGAGAGCGTCTCACACACAGGGATTCCTATATGTTATAGGGTCAAAGTGGACGCTCTCTGATGGTATAAGAGAGCCGCCCTCACACACAGGGATTCCTATAAGTTATAGGGCTCAAAGTGACGCCCTCTGATGGAATAAGAGAGCGTCTCACACACAGGGATTCCTATAAGTTATAGGGTCAGTGACTCCCCCTCTGATGGGATAAGAGAGCGTCTCACACACAGGGATTCCTATAAGTTGTAGGGGCAGTGACGCTCCCTCTGGTGGAATAAGAGAGCGTCTCACACACAGGGATTCCTATAAGTTAGAGGGTGCGTGACGCTCTCTCTGATGGGATAAGAGAGCGTCTCACACACAGGGATTCCTATAAGTTATAGGGTCAGTGACGCTCCCTCTGGTGGAATAAGAGGGCGTCTCACACACAGGGATTCCTATAAGTTATAGGGTCAGTGACGCCCCCTCTGATGGGATAAGAGAGCGTCTCACACACAGGGATTCCTATAAGTTATAGGGTCAGTGACTTCCCCTCTGATGGGATAAGAGAGGCGCCTCACACACAGGGATTCCTATAAGTTATAGGGTCAGTGACGCCCCTCTGATGGGATAAGAGAGCATCTCACACACAGGGATTCCTATAAGTTATATGGTCAGTGACGTCCCCTTTGATGGGATAAGAGAGCGTCTCACACACAGGGATTCCTATAAGTTATAGGGTCAGTGACGTCCCCTCTGATGGGATAAGAGAGCGTCTCACACACAGGGATTCCTATAAGTTATAGGGTCAGTGACGCCCCCTCTGATGGGATAAGAGAGCGTCTCACACACAGGGATTCCTGTAAGTTATAGGGTCAGTGACGCCCCGTCTGATGGGATAAGATAGCGTCTCACACACAGGGATTCCTATAAGTTATAGGGTCAGTGACGCCCCCTCTGATGGGATAAGTGAGTGTCTCACACACAGGGATTCCTATAAGTTATAGGGTCAGTGACGTCCCCTCTGATGGGATAAGTGAGTGTCTCACACACAGGGATTCCTATAAGTTATAGGGTCAGTGTCGCCCCCTCTGATGGGATAAGAGAGCATCCCACACACAGGGATTCCTATAAGTTATAGGGTCAGTGACGCTCCCTCTGATGGGATAAGAGAGCGTCTCACACACAGGGATTCCTATAAATTATAGGGTCAGTGACGCCCCTCTGATGGGATAAGAGAGCGTCTTACACACAGGGATTCCTATAAGTTATAGGGTCAGTGACGTCCCCTCTGATGGGATAAGAGAGCGTCTCACACACAGGGATTCCTATAAGTTATAGGGTCAGTGACGCTCCCTCTGATGCGATAAGAGAGCGTCTCACACACAGGGATTCCTATAAGTTGTAGGGGCAGTGACGCTCCCTCTGGTGGAATAAGAGGGCGTCTCACAAACTCTTGGTAGAGATTGGGGTGAGAGAATTTTCATGCACAGAGAATACATTAAGGTAAAGGATCTTTGATACCTAGTGATGGCAACATATGTGAGATGCCCTTTTTCTCATTTCCTACAGTCCCATTTTTTTAATGTTTTTTTGGGGGCCAACTGATTTTTAATATGAATTTTCCAACAGAGACCCTCCCCTATTCAATTATCTTAACATGGTTTATATAATGTACAACACTATGTTATATTGTCAGAAAATTAATATTGAGCAACACACAGACATGTATTTTATATATCTATAGAGAGATAGATATATATACATATCTATAAATATATTTATATTGGGAGCTGAAGGCACAGGAGATGCCTTATTGCCTTTTGGGTGGTTGGCGCTGAATTGGTTAAATACTGGCACTTTTCTTTATTTACTTCTGTTTTTGGGATCTTGGACTGAAATAAAATAAAAAATTTTGGTGAGAAAATTGTGTTTTATTTTATGTGGGAGATGACTGTTCTGATTATGATTTATGAAGATAGCATGCTCTGATGAGTCTGGTCTCACTCCATCGATTGATCTGCAGGAACCGGAAGAGATCATGCAAGATATGGCCGGAGATGAGTATTGTTTTATACTAATGCAAATCCATAATGAATACGGATTTTAATCAAGGGTAAGTGATTAGCATGAGTTGGGAAAGAGTGTAATGAATTGGCAATGGGCTGTATTGAGTGAGCAGGGAATGAGTGCGGTGGAATGAGGAGTAGGATGAGTTGGAGAGGACTGGGATGGATTAAGGATTATGATATGCTTGGAATATCAGGATGGAGTGACTACAGAGAAGGTGGAGAGGACGGGGATGGAGTTTGATATGTCTGGATTTTCAGATTTGAATGACTATACGGCTACAGTGGAGATGACTAGGATGGATTATGATATATTTGGATTATCAGGTTTGAAGGCTATACAGAGAACATGGAGAGACTTGGGATGGATTATGATATAGGAAACCACAACAAAAACAATTCGGGATATGGCTGTGTGAATCTACAGAGAGAACATAAAACAAAACATAGTGTGATATTGTTACAAAATACAATATTCTGTGCGCAACAATCTATTGCACTCACTAGATATAGATAGGTATTAGCGCTCTTAGGGTGCTTCCCCTGATATAATGGGGGGCCAAACGATCCTTCTGTTCACCTCCGGGTTCTTATTCCACCAAGAGACATCCACAGGTCCGGGTTAAAATTTAAGAAAATGTATTCAATAAAAAAATATATATAAATATATATAAGCAGTCACCAATTCAGCATAGGATATGAATGCAGAAAAAGTAGTCCTACGCATTTCGTTCGTAATGAACTTCCTCAGGGACCGCAATAAAATAATTACCATGTATGAATGCAAAGTACAAAATAAACATATCCTAAAACAACCCCCCTCCACATGGACATTGCAATAAATATACCACAAAGTCCGTGTGGCAATTAATATCATCTTTAAGTTGAAAATTCTCCCACATGACAAAACTAGAGAAGGAGTGTATGTGTATAATAGATGCCGTGGCACAAGCTTCACAAGAACAACAGCCCCGAAAAGAGCCTGAACGGGTGAGGGTACGAACTAATGGTGGTTTAATGGCATAACTAAGTGCGAACATATTCTTTACATTTTTTTTTTTATATATAAATAACTGTAGGATTGTCTGGTAAATGTATGTCTGGTAAATGTATTTTGTAACAAAATAGGCCAAGAACCTTGAAGGCTTCTCTTAATTCTATTATGATCGGTATTGAAATGAGTGATAAATGCTGAGCGAAAATTATTCCTATTCTCCAAAAGAGTTTTCCTTTCTATATCACCAATTCTCCAGATCTCTCTCTCTAACTCCTTACAATTATATCCTCTATCTACAAGTTTATTTTTAACATGTGATGATTGGGAATAGAAGTTCTGTCTCAGACGGGTAAACTGACTTCTAGCAATTCCCTTAAGCCAGGGGTGATGGTGACCACTCTTACGGTGAACAAACCCATTCCCATCTGTGGGCTTGAAGAAGCATTTACGCCTAACATACCCCAAATCATGGGACAAGGTGAGATCAAGAAAATTGATCTCATCCTTGTTCCATACAGGGGTGAAAACCAAATGGTACTCATTTGTATTAAAAAAATTAACATAATCCTGAAACAAGGTAAAAGGCCCCTTCGAAATAATAACAACATCATCAATATAACGCCGCCATAGGACCAAGTTCGCCCTACAGTCATGTCCTGACCACACAAATAGCTCCTCCCACCTCCTCATGTAGATATTGGCATAACTGGGGGCGAACTTTGTTCCCATGGCGAGCCCCGTGATTTGCAAAAAATAATTACCATTAAAGAAAAAATAATTGTGATATAAAATAAATTGAACAGAAGAAAAAACAAAATCCTTCAAATCAGCTGTTAATTCTGCATCTTGTTCCATGAAATAATTAATCGCCTCAAGACCCAATCTATGACTGATCACTGTGTACAGAGAGGTCACATCAAGTGTGGCCCAACTGTACTCTGGATCCCATTCGATACTCTCCATTTCTTGGAGAAAGGACTTAGTATCCTTTATGTATGACGGTGACCTTTGGGCATCATACGTAAAGGATACTAAGTTTGCGGTCAGCGAGTTGATACCGCTGATAATGGGTCGTCCAGGGGGGTTGGGGAGGTGCTTATGTGTCTTAGAGAGAAAGTAAAATATTGGAATGATCTGATTTTTTTGAAACAAAACATCAAAATTTTTCTGTGAAATAGTACCCCTTTCTTTAGCTTCATCCAAAATAATTTGGAGCTCTGTACCCATTTTTCTGAGCACACATACCTTCTATTTTAGTAATATGGCTACCAATGTGAATTTCTTATCCAATTTACAATCTAATCGTAGAAGGAAGTTTGAGGCCATTTTTCAGAAATGGGAAAGACCTCAACCGTTCAAGGGACTGCATGAATTGTTTAGGAAAAAAGAAAAATTACTCTCGTCTGAAACAAAAAAAAAGGTGGGAGGTAGCATATTTAGAAAATTATTTGAAAGACAGCCTTATACCACGAGTCCTTAGGATTGATAAAACACCTGCTTTTGGGTTGGAGGATAATTTATTTCTGGAGGAATGGGATGCTATCCTTTCTAACTGTTCCTTCCAGTTGATTCAAAAATACAGAGTGAATTGGAAGCTGAACTAATTAGTTTGGATACCAACCCCACTATTGATGTGAATAGTGGGGAGTATAAGGAGAGAGAAGAGTTCCTACAGAATATCAAAAAGTTAGATGAAAAAATTGCCGAAACAAAAAATTACAAATACAGTAGAGATAAGGAAGATAAATTGTTGAACTAATTTTCAACAAAAAATAGAGTAACTCGCCGAACAAGAAGTTCCTCCACTTATAGGGGGGCTACATTAAGGAATCTGGGGAGGAGGGCTAGGATTAATTCACACCCTAGAGATCTACGGAGAGACCGACAGAATTCCGTAAATAAACCATATGGAATGTCCAATAGGGAAACCCCCCCAGGTCCCCAGACTTACGGGAACTGAGTTATATATTGACCTTAAAAAATTCATCCATTCTTTAACTATAAAAAGGCATTTTTTATTGCACCCACCTAAGACTGAGGTTGATGTCGCCCCTGGGCCGCCTGGAGGTTCTCTTTAACCATCTGTGCCAGCTGCTCCATGCGGTCCCGAAGCATTGCTACAAATTATACAATGGGGATTCCTTCCTGTTCTGTGGCCCCCTCCCAGTGCTCTCTAATGAGATCCAGGGGGCCTCACACCCTTCTCCCATATAATAGCTCGAAGGTAGAAAAACCAGTGGACTCTTGTGGTACCTCTCAGTATGCAAACATGAGGAGAGGTAGGAATCGCTCCCAGTCACAGTATGCGTTTGTGAACGTCTTCAACATCTGCTTGAGGGTGCCATTGAAATGTTCACAGTGGCCGTTTGTCTGGGGGTAGTATGGGGAACTAAGTAGAAACTTAATCTGGCAGACCTTCCACAACTAGTGTGTAATTTCTGCGGTGAACTGGGCCCCTTGGTCTGAGAGAATTTCTTTAGGAAACCCCACTTGGGTGAATATCTCAACTAATGCATTGGCCACGGTGTCTGCCTGAATATTGGGCAGAGCAACGGCTTCAGGGTAGCACGTGGCATAGTCCACCACGGTAAGGATGAACCGTTGACCGGATGGACTAGGTCTTTTGAGGGGCCCCACCAGGTAGACTGCTATCCGGCCGAAGGGCTCTTCTATGATTGGCATGGATATCAGTTTTCACTTTGGGGTGAGCCCCCCTCTTCCCTACCCTCTGACAAACATTGCAGGTCCCGCAATAGTGTTGCACATGCGTAGAGAGACCCGGCCAAAAGAAGTGCTGGGTTACTCGATGGGATGTGCGAGTCATTCCCAAGTGTCCTGCTAATGGGATGTCGTGCCCAATTCAGAGAAGCTTCCATCGGTATTTCCTTGGAACTACCAACTGGCGCTTCTGCGAGGGTGTGGCTCCAGGGCAACGGGTTTGAGATACCCAGTATAATTTGTACTGCTCCCATTTATATCTTTTCCCTTCTGACCCTGTCTGACCGGTTTCTGCCCTAAGATGATACTTATGGAAGGAGGGGTCAGCCCTAGTCTCCCTGCCAAACTCCTCTGGGGTATTCCAGGCTAAGGTCATCATGGCTAGAGTTTTTGTCAAGGGGTCTGTACTCCCAGTGGGTTGTACTCAGCTGTGCGAGCTTGGGCACGGATGGAGCGGTAGGAGCATAGGCGTATGTGAGGGGCCCCAGGTCGTTGCCCAACAGTACTTTAGCTGGGAGATTGTCCATGATTCCCACATGCACCTTGCCGAATCCGGCTCCCTAGTTCAGATGAACGCAGGCAGTGGGAATCCGATAGACTGCTCCCCCTGCTACTCTGACGGCGACAGTTTTTCCGGTGCGGTCATCGTTACGGATCAAGTGTCGCTGTAACGTGGTCCCTGTGTCTCGTAGGCCTTGGGCTGGTTGCCCGTTGACTAGGACCTCTTGGCGGTGGTGTTGCCTATTGTCTTGAGCGGCGGCTTGGATCTGGTTGGCCTCATACAAGACCCCTAGGTATTCCTCGGACTCTGGCTCAGCCTCCAAGCAATGGGTGGCTGAGGTAGGTTGGGGCCGGTATGGTGATCGCCCCTAGGTGGATATGGCTGGATCAAGGGGACAATTGCTGCGCATGTATCCCAGTTGATGGCAGCCATGGCACTTGACCCTGGAGTGGTTCTGCTGGTACTTGGGAGGTCCGGAATAGTGAGCAGGGGCTGGAGGGACTAGAGCACGGAACTCTATCCTAGGTGGGGGTTTCACAATGACTGACTTGGGATGAGGACGGACAGCGGTCGGTTCTTGGCACCTGGATTCAATATATTTGGCAGCCAAGTGAGCCGCGTCCTGCAGGGTGAGTGG